GTTAATTACCATTGTAGTCAGGGATTGCAAGGAGAACAAGACTATATAGGACACATAATTTATAGTATTATTTTGTAATAATCACCCAGAATCAAAGACAAGAAGTACAGGAAATCTGTCCACACACTAAAGACCTAGAGAATCCTGCCAAGGGCCTGGATCCCGCAGCAATGTCCTGCATGAGTCTAGCTGAAGACCTAGAGCCCATGACAATGCTTCCCACAAGTCCAACTGGAGGCCCAGAGCCCACGACAATGACTCATGTGAGTCTGTTTCATGGATCTGCACTGGAAAGGCCCAAAGGTAAGTGATGGAAGGAAGGAAGTCTAAGCGAGAAAGTCTACGCCAGCAGGATGAAGTATCTGTGTCAGTAGGTTGAAGGTTCTGCACAGGAGCCAAGAAGCAATGCTTAAAGACCAGGGCTCCCCTGAAAAGTACCACAGCCATCCTCAGCAACAACAAGGTCCCGGGCTCCGATGATGAGAACAGACCAGTTCGCATCAGGAAACCAATGTACCAAGCTTCTCCTAGTGACTGACCAGCACACATCTTCCCCTCCAGGGCCAGGAAGTGATGCTCAAGTAAGGATCAGAGCTCCCCCAAGGTGAAACATAGCCATTTTTTGGTGACAAAGTCCTGAGTTCCTCCAATGATAACAGCCGAGTTCATATCAGGGAAGCCAGCATGACAAGTTCCTGCAGGAGAACCAACAGCTCCAAAAGAACCAACATCTCCAAACAACACTTAGGAGAACCCACAATGCTACTCTCTTCCTCTCCACTTCTCCTGTTTAGGCTGGCAACAGTCCTCAGGTGGGCCATCTACACACAGCACCACACTGATTCAGTTTAGCCTGTTATTACAATGACACCAGTTTTCAATCCACCACAATTACTTGGTAAAAAATTCAACTGCAGTTACATAGAGATTGAGAAAGCAAACTCCTTTGAGGCAGGGTCTAGCAATTATTTTGTTCTTAATTAACTTGAAGTTGAGGGTTGTCAAAATGTTAAACAGCAACAGAATTAGGGTTTCAAATGTACTATAACCAGGTTGCAGAAATAAATATGTTAAAGTCTGAGCTTGCTATAACTGAACACGGAGTTAAAGTGTGCCAAACTAGGGTAGGCTTCCTCACAGGTGTCCAGGAAGGAGGGCAGGCACCTGGTGGATTCAGACTGGCCCTGTTTATAATTGTTTATAATTATAATTGCCTCTTTTCTCATCAAAGCAGAACCAGTAGGAATTCTCCGTCCCACATACTGACCCCCACTGTGCACGCTGCCCGCTGATGATTTGGCTTCAGAACTGTTCACTTCGTCCTCTTAAATGCTCTTAGGGTAAACTGAGTGTGGTGGCTCACACTTGTAATTGGAGCACTCCGGGAGACTGAGGCAGGAGGATTGCAAGTTCAAGCTCAGCTTGGGCAATTTGGTGACTTAGTGAGACTGCCTCAATTAAAAACATTAAAAAAGGACTGGGAATGTAGTTCAGTGAGAAGGCCTGGGGTCAAACCCTAGCAGCAGCACCGCCACCATATACACTATGTATATAGCATTGTGTGTGTGTGTGTGTGTGTGTGTGTGTGTGTGTGTGTGTGTGTGTGTGCATGAAGACACTTGTGCTGAAAGTCACATGAAAAGGGAGTTGATTAAAGGGTTAGCTTCCTGGATACCTTGGTTGATTAAAATTAAAATGTCCTCAATGATACCAGCTTCTCAATATTCTGAAGAGTTTTTTCTTTTTAATTTGTATTAGTGCATGTTTGGGGTATGCAAAGATTGTGTTCATCCTGGGAAGCTGGTGCATACATAATCTTAAACTTTGTCTTTAAAGAGAAAATGTAGCCAGGTGTGGTGGTGCATACATGTAGTCCTAACACTCAGGAGGCCGAGGCAGGAGGATTGCTGTAAATTCATGGCCACCCTGGGCTGCACAGTGACTTCAAATCCAGCCTGAATTACATAGCAAGACCCTGGAGACCCTGTCCAAAAATACAAGACAAGGCAAAGAAATAAATCAAAACAAAACAAAAGAGAGAGAGGGAGAGAAAATGTGTCAAGAAGTAAAATCATGTAATCAAGGGACCTAAATAATTAATTCCTTCAAATACTTCAATTATCAGACATTTTAAAATTTTTTAAAAATTTGTATTTATTAATGTATTATTTTTTGTCTTTATGAGACAGAGTTTCACTATTCAGGTCAAATTGGCCTTGAACTCTCTGTAATCCTGCCTCAGCCTCCAGGAGGGGATTATAGGGGTGTGCCCCCACACCTGGCCAAACTTTAAATGACACAGCAGATTGCCTTGGTGACTCACTTTCTGCCATGCATAATTTCAGCCTATCTGACTCAGGATGTGTGACCTTCCAAAGGTGAATGCCACCCCAGTCATCAGGCCCATGCCAAACTGAGATACACTGCAGTGTATTAAGCATTGCAGGTGTGAAGTGGTCCCAGGTGTACTTCGTCTCTAGACAGACTCGTGGTTATCTGTAGGTGGAGAGTGCGCGCATTCAGCACAAGACAGTAGCAGGTCTGCATTGCTTGTTCTTCTGACCAGACACGCCAGAGCCAGCTCGTGTAACTCTCACGGGAATATCTGAGAGCTTCCTACTGGATGGCGAAGACCAATCCCATGATACCTGTTCTCCTGCAACAGACTACACAGACAATAGAGCGGAAACATCCCACACCTGTGTGACAGTGTCAGTCTGAATAGCACAGTCTGAATCAGTTCTTCCAGAGTGCATCTCTCACCAGGTGTAGTGGCACATGTGTGTAATCCCAGCACTCAGGAGGCTGAGGCAGGAGGATCGCTGTGAGATTGAGGCCAGCCTGGGCCACATAAGTGAGTTCAAGATCAGCCTGCACTACATAGCAAGGCTCTCTCTCTCTCTCTGTCTGTCTCTCTCTCTCTCTCTCTCTCTCTCTCTCTCTCACACACACACACACACACACACACAAGTGCATTCACTCTAACGTGTGCAGAATTGTGTTGACTGCCTTATCATTCTAATTCACTTAGATGCCCAGGTTGTGTTGAAATGCTTTCCACAGAGTCTCTCTTCCACAGCCACTGCCTGTTTTCTGGGAGCCTTTTTGGACTGCATCCATGTGCCCCCACCCACTGGTCTGTCCCCCAGTGGATTCCCATTGACCTGAGCTTAGGGCCTGTAGCCTCAGCTTCTGAGCCACTTGATAAATGTTCACTGAATAAAAATCTAAAAGAGCAGATTTTTAGAGTTCTCATCACAAGAGAATGGTATGTGAGGTGCTGTAAATGTTATCCAGCTTGATTCAGCCACTCCACAATGTATACATATTGTAAAACACTGTATTGTACACGACAACTATGTAGGACATTTTTTGGTCAAGAAAAAATAAATTAACTGTTGGACATGGTGGCATGTGCCTGCCCTCCCAGCTACTCAGGATGAGGAGAGAAGATCTCGAGATTGAGGTCAGTGTGGGTAATTTTAGTAAGACCCTGACTCAAAATTAAAACATCAAAAGGGGTAGAGATGTAGGCCAGTGGTAGAGCACTTGTCTGGCATGTGTGAGTCCCTGGGTTCAACTCCTAGTGCCCAAAATAAATAAATAAATGAATTTTAAAATGTTTGTTGGATAGACAATTTTATATACAAGCAAGAATAATTAGCAAATTTGCAAAGGTCTGTTTATTCTTTGCCTAAGATTTAATTAAAATAGTCCATTAATAATAAAGGCATTCATGCTTGAAATAAGGTTATTTTTTCTAAAGTTAAATGCATAAGTGTTGTCTTGCCTTAGGTCGGTAGTCTAGCAAAATACCTCCTTTAGCTTAGGTTCAGTGAGTTAGCTGTTCTATATGTTGCAAAGATCTACTGAAAACATACTTTCATCCTGCTGAACACTTTCATACTGAAATAATACAGCAACATAATTAGATAATAGTATCGGAGGGCCTAAAAAAATGGTTGGCATTCAGTAGATACCTAAAACTTAACTAATTATTTCTCTCACATATGTTTTATTTATTTTATACTGGGAATCCCATTCATGACCTCCTGCTTACCAGGCAGGCGTTGTGCCACTGAGCTATATCACCAGCCTTACTTTTAGTTTTTTGAAACAGAGTTTCAGTGTGTTTCAGGCTGGTCTTGAACTCACTATGTAGTCTAGGCTGGTCTTGAATTTATGATACTCCTGCCTCAGCCTCCCGAGCATTTGGATTACAGGTATACGCCACCACACCTGGCTTTCTTATAGATATATTTTTTCTTACATTTTTTTAAATAGTAAAAACTAGTTATAGAGCTGGGTGAGAAGCCTTAAATTGATTTTAGCAGAGGATGAATGGGAAGGGGGGGGTGTGTGTGTAATGTTATACTGTGTTTTGACCTAGCAAATAAGTTTAACTACTACATCTAAATCTACAATACTACCCGGGCTTTATATTTCCTGGTAACATAATGAAAATGCATCTAACTTAGGATGCCAAAAATATGCATAAAATATACAATATCTAGTTAAATTCAAATTTCGGATAGTGAATAATTTTTTAAGTGTAGGTATGTTTCCTCGTAATCTTTGAGCCATGTTAAGAGTTGGGACACGCTTATCCTGAAAAAGTTATCCATCATAATTTGAATTTCAAATTGGACTCAGCATCCTGTATTTTCAGTTGCTGCATCTGACAGTCCTAATCAAACGACTACCAGTGAGTGGCTTGAAAAGCAATAATAATTTGGTGTGCTTTATTTTATTTTTAAAAAACATGTTACTGGTGGCAGTCAACCAATTTCTTGATGGCTTTTAAGTTCATTTCTTTCATTGTCCTAAGCCTACGGTTAGCTGGCATAATGGTAGTGTGATTTCACCTTCCCTTAGCAAATGCTTCACAATCTAAATATCTATTTTGGCTCCCCGTGGTTGCCAGAACGCGCTCTCCCTCCCAACAGTTGTTAGTCCTGGCTAAAAGCCAGACATTTGGTGTAGCGCCATCAGTTGCTTACCCTCCTGGAAGTGCTGTGGAGGCGCCCACGGCAGGTTTTCCTCGCTGGTGTGGATCAGTAGCCAGGAGCCCATCGCCCTGCTGTAAATCTGCCCTGCCCAGCGAGCAGCTCTGAGCATGCGCACAAAGCCAAGAGGGGCCAGATGCTTGAGCAATGCGGCCTGCGGTCATCGGTCAGCAGTGGCCTGGCCTGCGACCCGCTGCGGAGCTCTGGTTCACAGAGCAGAGGCACCGCAAGCCAAGTGTGGATGGAGGCCTTGACAGGGCACCACCAGCCAAGAAAGAAAAAACAGAAGTTGCATTAAATTGGTCCTTTTATGGGCACTTCCCCCTTCATTATCACCTCTCTCCAGCAGCCCTATCAATCATCCCCAGCCTGAACGCTAAACCTCCAGGGATCTGCTAGGTGAGCAGCTGTGGGAGGCCGGGCCTCCTGCCAGAGCAAACCCCAGCGCATTCCGGGGACCCGGCCAGCTCCAAAGCCCTCTTGCCTTTCTTCTCCCAGCCAGAGGGATTGGAAGGCGGTCTCCTGCCCTCCCAGACCACCTGTTATTTCCAACTGCACCAGCTCCTCCCCGGACTCATGGGGACACAGACAGCTCCACGGCTTGCTGCCCCCTTCCACCAGCTGCTTCCGACTGCCCCTCGGCAGCGGGGCAGGGCACTGCGGAACCTCTGCCCTGTCTTCTTGTTGATCCCATTTTCGCGGCGAGCAACTGAGTCCTCCTTGGGTTTTAAGTCACCAACATGCCCTTCAGATGCGTGTAGTGCTGCGGCTGTGGCTCAGTCCCTGGGGACAAGCCACACCCTTGTGTGCACAGCGCTGCCAGGAGAAATGCTAAGCCAGGGGCTTCCCCTAAAGCTGCAGACCTGCCCGCAGGAGGATGCAAAACCCACGAGGTGAAAGGGTGCATCTTTGAGGCTTCCTGAGACTTTCTGGGGTGAGACAAATAAAAAGTGAGCTGGTAAAGTAGTTTTCAAATGCTGGTACACATGAGAATCAACCAGGAGACTTAAAGTTCACTAGCAAAGATTTTTTTAAAAGATTATTTTATTTTTTTAACGATCCCAGGGCCAGCGGGGCACAGTGGCATACCTGTAGTTCCAGCACTCTGGAGGCTGCAGCAGGAGGATCACTGAGAGTTCAAGGGTGGTTTGGCTACATGATGAGCTCAAAGCCAGCCTGGACTACACAGCAAGACCCTGTCTCAAAAACCCAAAAGAGAAAGAAAGAAGAAAACGGATTGGATAGGGCTTGGTGATAGAGCTTGCCTGACATATGCAGGGCCCAGGGTTCAATCTACAGTCTGGACACACACACACACACACACACACACACACACACACACACACACACAGGTGAATTGAATGATGATAAAAACACACAGTAAAAGATCCTGGGTTATAGAGTTATAGCAGTTATAGTAAAATTTATGGCTTGAATAGTTTATTAGAAGTTTTAAATCAGTGATCCAAAACTCCATGTTGAAAAATAGAAAAACAAAAAGAACCTGACACAAGATAGAAGAAAATGATGTAACTTTTTTTCCTTTCCCATTGGAAAAGAATCCAGCTATCTCACTGCAGATACAAAGTCCCTATGATGAGTGTGATCACTATGTACCCCTAAAATGTATCAATAAACTAATTTTTAAAGAGATAATAAATATAAGCAAAAATAAAGAGAATCTTAAAAATCAAAAATTGTTTCTTTGAAAAGATAAGAAAACGGACAAATATGTAGAAAGAGTAACAAAATGGGAGCTTCTCGGTGGCAGGACATGTGCTTAGCACGTGCAAGGCCCTGGATTTGATCTCTAGCAGGAGAAAAAAATGATTTACAGTATTATTTATAACAGTACGGCATATTAAATATTGAGAGATAAATTTAATAATTATGAACAAGATGTGTATACCAAAGACTATAAAACGTTGCTGAGAGATTTTAAAGCGCTAAATAAATAAAAAGAAAAACTTCATTTCTGAACTGAGTGTGGTTAAAAGTATCCATTCCTCCTAAAGCAGCTACAGAATCCATCTAATTCCAATCATCATTCCAACAAACTTTATTGTTGAATGTAACAAATTTGTTCTAAATTTGAATGAAAAAGCAAAAGATCTGAAATAGTGAAAACAAACTTGAAGTACAAAGAGGACTCACATGGTTTTATTTCAAGCTTTCATCTGGGGCTACAGTGGTCATGACAGTGTGGACAAGGCAGACAAGCAGATTAGGTAGAATCAAGCCCAGAAATAGATCTCTGCATGTACCGTCAGCTGATTTTCATAAACATGCCAAGGCTCTTCAACGGGAAAAGCAAATCTTTTCCACAAATGGTGCTAGAATAACTGAATACATGTGTAGAAAAATTGGACGATAGTCTTTTTGTCACACGAGGCACTAAAATTAATTCAAGATGGATCCTAGCCCTCATGAAAAAGCTAAAACCATAAAGTTTTCAGAAGAAAATGCTGGAGAATATTTTTGCAAACTTGGGCACGGGAAAAAGCACTAAATTTCCAATGAAAATTTGATTAAAATTTTCAAAACTTTAAACTTAAAATTTTGGCTTATCCAAATATACCTGAAAAGATAACCAACTCGAGACTGACAAGTCTTGTCTTCAGAATACAAAGAGTTACAACATAAGAAAAAGATAAGTAACCCTATAAATAAATGAGTGCGACATGAACAGGTCCTTCACAAAAGAAGATACGAATAGTTGACCTGACTAGTCATAAAGGCAATGCAAAAGAAAACTGCTGGGGGATTTAATTTCATACTCAGAGTAACAAAAATTTAAAGCCTGACACCGCCACGTATTGGTGAGGATGTGGAATAGCTGTCATACACTGCTCGTGGTGGTATAAAATGGTACAAACACATTAGAAAATGAGCAGGCAATTCCTGACACCAGAAATCCCACTCCCAGGTCTTTACCCAAGGGAAACAAAAACAATGCAAATGCTGATTAAAAGACTTGTGCAAGAATGTTCCTAGAAATAATGTCCTAATGCTCTGGAGGCTGTGACAGGAGGATCACCGTGAGTTTGAGGCCAGCCTGGGCCACACAGTGAGTTTAGTGCCAGCCTAAACTACATAATGAGACCCTGCCTCCAAAATCCAAAACTCAAAAAACAAAACACAACAACAAAAACTACTGATACATAGGAGAGCATGCAACAGCATGCAAATCTATGATTTTATTGTATACATGAGGTCCAAGAACAAGTAAAAGTAATCTACAGGCCACTGGGCATGCTGGCACTTGCCTGTAATCCCACTCAGCCACATAGTGAGCTCAAGGCCAGCCTGAGCTACAGAGTGGCTACTGTCTCAACTCCCTTCACCCCTGAAAGATTAATTTATGGGGCTGGAGACTAGAGCATGCGGGGTAGCTGCTCACACGAAAGACCTGATGGTGCCGTGTTCCTGTCTCCACTGGGAAGCTGGTTTTGGAGATAGGGACGTTTTCCACAGAGGTGAACTATACCTTTAAGATTAGTGGCCTTGGTGATATATAAGAGTTAGCTTAGCCAAGTGCAATGGAACACAAGTCTTGTGGACCAGATTGAAAAGCGGCTGGGCCGTACCAGAAACAGAGGGAGTTCAGATAGCCATGATCAAAGGGACCTTAAGGTTCCCTTTCTAGGAAGGTTACTGAGATGCTTTGTATAAAGGCAGGCTGTTATGTCAGCACCAGTGGAAATGGTGCCATCCCTTTGCAGTTAGACCTACCACAGCCCCTGAATGTCGACCTGCTCTTGTCCTCCATGCCCACTTTGTCCCAAGAGACCCCTTTTAGTTCTTAGGACTTAGTTTTGTAGAAAATGAAATAAAACATTATGATCCCTATCGTGAAATTATTTTCCTAAAGTTATTCTACAGGGTGCTGTAGAAGTCAACCAAGAGACCCAGAATGCAGCTTATTCATGGGATGGATTAGATTCTAGGCTTCCACAATGGTTCTGATTTCAGACACAGTTTGAGTTACAATCCAAAAAGTCTTAGAAAATAAGGGAGTTGACATTTGAAATGTGATAAAAGGTAAATAAATAAAATTATGAAATTTAACCTAAAAATTCAGATCTATGGCAAGCAGTGGCCTGTGCTTTCCATGTTGTGGTGCCTCTGTGTGCCCTGCCAGATCGCTGTTCCACACTTGGTCCTTGGAGGTATTGAACTGGTGGCCTTTCAGGGACGTGATGTCCTCTATAGCAGCTGTGTCAAAGTCTCTGAGAGGGTACTTTATTTTTATTAGTGTTGCCTCTTTCATTTATAGTTGACGGGAATCTAAATTAGGATTAAAGATATGAGGGAGGCCAGGGGGCCCATGTGGTTCCCAGAACATCTTTGGTTAGGCCTCCTGTGTATTTGAAAAACATGCAACCAAACTAGGTTTCTAAAGTCACTGGACTACTTCCAGAATTTTCTGGAACCTTCTGTTACCTTTCCATTTTTTCCCTCTGATAATTCTGAAGAATCTAAGCCCAGCAGGCAATGGGTCCTCCGTGAGAATACTGTTCTATGAGGCTAAGTAAAATCTCCGGCTGAAATGAAACTCTTACGTCGGCTCACTCAGCTGTATCACTTCAAAGAGGAAAACAAATAAAACCCAGCTTCCTGTCATCTCCCAGCATTAAAGGATGACAGACTACAGTTGCTTTCCGTTTTGACTAGAAGCAAAACTACAGATGAATAACATGCTAGATCAAGAAGCCAAGCAAACCAAAGCAACCTCTTCATCAGCAGAAGTCAACAAAAGGCAGAGTGAAAACCTCCCACACTGACAGAAGCTCTTTGCTGAGCAATCAGATCATGACCTAATATTTTACATAAACTACTGAAATCTGTGTATCCTTTTTACCTATTTACAAGGAGTAAAAAAGAAACTACTAAAATAATAGACATGTTCTCAGTTACCTTGGAAGGCTTTCTTTTCCTAAAGGTGAGTTCCTCGCCCCTCTCCCTTGCCTGATAGAAAATATTGATTACTGGAGACCACTGGAGTGGGGATTTTTTTGGGAAGGGGGGTGATCCTGGGGTTTGCGTGCAGAATCTTCTCATTGAGCTGCATCTCAGCTTTTTTAATTTTTATTTTTGAGACTGCCTTAGTTACTTTTCTCTCACTGATACAAAATACCCAGTACCCACTAGTTAAGGAAGGAAAGGCTTATTTAGCTCACAGTTTCTATAGGTTTCAGTCCATAATTCCCTGGTTCCAAGGCAGGGTGGAATGGCACAATAATTTGTGGTGGCAGACAACAGCACAAACAACAAGCAAGAGAGAGAGAGAAAAGCCTTTTCCACCCCTTTTATTGTATGCATGCAGGGCATAGCACTCACACCCTTAATCCCAATATTGAACCATGCATCAATCACAAACTAGATTCAGCCACCTCTGACAAGCCCACCCCTCATGACAGCGTGAAGCTGTGGGGGGACATCCAGTCATAAACAGTAACACTGAGCCTCACTGAATTGTTGAATTCTGCAGGCTAGAGTCAAGCACGAAATCCTCCTGCCTCAGTCTCTCAGAGTGCTGAGATTGCTGCTGTGGGCATGGCAATCCTAGAGTGGGGACTTTTGGATACCCTGAGTCAGTCATCCTACTGTCCTTCACTTATTAATTTATTTGTGATTTACTCATTTATTCATTAGAATCTACTCTTTGTGTGCCAAGATTGTGGGAAGACCACATGAAAGAAAACATTATCTGTACTTTTAA